AACACTAAAAACCTCAAAAACAGAAATAGGTATAGGAAGTGGTATACAAATTATACCTCAACAGAGGTGTTGAAATATCACATCTCACTTGGAACAAGAATGAGAATGAGTCTCAGATTTTACTGAGTTTCTTCCATTTTATTTTAGAGGCTATCAAATGCATAATCTAACTTTATCAAAAATAAATGATTAAATAACTTAGTGTTATGTGACTGGTAATAGAGAATGCACTTGAAGCCACACCTGTTTGGGTAGTTAGGAGATAATTAAGTTGATTACCTGATCTTTATTTATCCTCTCATGATTCTCCTGTCTTTCAAACTCAGGGTGAAGCCCTTGATTACACAATGATGATCTCTTAAAAGATCCTAGGAAGGCACTATTTTTATTTTCCTAAATCTCCCTGAGAACTCACAGATCTCTTTTCCTTTTAGGTATTAGATCCCCTGAGAGACGGTATTGTGATTAGCATCTTTGCCTGGATATGGTAACCTGTGTGGCTGTATATAACGGGGCAAAGTTGTAGGTTCCAGAGAACTTGGAACCAGAAACTAAGAGAGAAGAGTAGGGACTTTTCACCTCTAGCAATTTGTTTTTCTATGTCATTTGGTAATTCTCATTTCCTAGACTTGTTTTTCTCATCCATATACTAATAATATTGATTTTATTCTAAAAGAAATTTTGAGTATTGCAGGACCCATAGGAAGGCAACCACTGAACTTTGCTTGGTGAAATGGTCCCTAAGGTTCCTGCTTTGCAGAGGAAACTGCCAGACATTCTACAGGACACAGAGAAAAGTGACTGAGAGATTCTAGGTCAGTGGGCTGAAGACAGATGCCTCAACTTTACAGAGGAATTTTGGATGACTGTCCAGGCTGCCAGCTGTCTCTGTCTACTCTCACAAGACTCCTGAAAGTTGCTTGTGTCCTTCTCCCATTTCTCAGGTAATATTATCCTTCTGAGGTTTTTTTATGTAGTTGAAGACTAGATAGTTATAATTTCCTTAGTCATGATAAAAGATAAGTTAGATATGAAATCTTAGACTCACAAATATAGGATAGATAGGATATCTTCTTTAATTTTGCCAAATACAAATCGACTAGATATTATAACTATAATTCTTGCTTGATAATTGTTTTGTTATATGCAATTTTACTATGTTAAAGTTAAAACCTTCCTTTTAAAAAAAAGAAAAGGGAAAGTGCTGTTGATATTGATCACTCTGTATGCTATGAATGGGTTGTCCTGATTGATTGATAAATAAAATGCTGATTGGCCTGTAGCCAGGCAGGAAGGATAGTATAGGCAGGACAAGCAGAGAAGAGAATTCTGGGAAGTGGAGGGCTGAGTCAGGAGATGCTGAGAAGTAAGATGCAAAGTACCAGTAAGCCACGAGCTACATGGCAACTTATAGATTAATAGAAATGGGTTAATTTAAGATATAAGAACTGGATAGCAAGGAGCCTGCCATGGCTAAACAGTTTATAAGTAATATAAGTCTCTGTGTGTTTACTTGGGTCTGAGAGACTGTGGGCCTGGGTGGGACTAGAGATAACTCCAACAACAGAGTATTTAGTTAAATAGTTGTGGTTTGAATAAGAATGGTCCCTATAGGTTTATATATTTGAATGCCTAGGGAGTGATAATATTTGAAAGTATTAGGAGTTGCAGCCTTGTTGGAAGAAGTATGTCACTGGGGGTGGGTTTTGAGGTTTCAAAAATCCCTTCTAATCACAGAGTCATTCTTTTCCTGCTACCTGCAGATCTGGATGTAGAACTCTCAACTACTTCTCTCTTTCTGCTGCTTGCAGATATAGACGTACACTTCTCAGGTATTTCTCAAGGTAACACATCTGCCCATTTGCCATCATGCCCCCTGACCATGACCAGAGGTTTTGTCCATTTTCATCATGGACTTAACCTCTGAAACTGCAAGCAAGCTCCAGTTAAATGCTTTTCTTTATCAGAATTGCTACGGTCATGGTGTCTCTTCACAGCAATAGAGCACACTGACAATACAGAAGTTGGTACCAGGAGTTGGGTATTGCTGTGACATGCATGACCATGCTTCCTGTTGGCAGAATGTGGGCTTTGGGACTTTAGATTAGGGAAGATATTGAACATTTTATGCCCAGCTTACTGAGACATGCTAGAAAGAGCATGGCAGACACTGGTGCCTAGAGCAATGTAGATTATGACATCCCAGTTTAAGAGGTTTCACAGGAGAAGAACATTCGTAATGGCCTAGAGACTGTTCTTGTGATATTTGGTAAAGAATGTCGCTACTTTCTGCTCTTATACAAAAACCATGCCTAAGGCTAAATTGAAGAATTTTGGATTAATGGAATTGGCAGAGGAGATTTTAAGACACCCTAATATTGATTGTGTCATGGGATTGTTCGTGGTCACTCTTATGTGGATCTACAGTGAAAAGGAAGAAAGCTAAGACAAACAGAAACACAGAAATAGTGTAAGTTCAGATAGTGAAAATGATTTCAAATATGGGAGACCCTTTATATGTGTGAGGCAATACTATTGTTCATCATGATGAAAAATGGATAGAAACAGAAAAGATAATGTTGATGATAATCATAAGGAGGAGGATTACACAAAATGCCACCATCGATGACTTTTCCCCCTGAAAACTTAATGTGTGTATGTTTGCTATATGCTGAGATGCATACTTAACTTCTCCAGTTGCTGATACAGGAGATGTTTTCGCTGGAGTAACCTTTACAGATACAATGGTATATCACAGGTCTTTGTTACCAACTTTGTGATTTGTAGAATGATTAGAACATTAGAATTGACAGGGAATAAGAAGTAGGGGAGAAATAGCCATTCTAACCAATGCTGCTTTACTGGCTGACATTATTTCCCAGATGTGTGTGATACACCAAACAAGTTCAGAGCTTATGATGAAAAGCAGCTTCTGTAAAACTTTTCATTCTAATTCTGTACATTAACCCTTCAACCCCCTCGACTCCTTGAGCAGTAGTGCTTTTCTCATATCACTTAAGGGTGCACTTAATCTACCAGGAAAACTCATATACATTCCTCAAGACCCTGGTGAAGGCAGGTTGAGGGAAGCTGGCCTTCAGGCAGATTCTTGGCATACCTCAGAGGAGCAAATGTTCACTTCCCTTTTTGGGGAGTGCTGGAGACTGAACCCCATGGCCTTGTCCATGTTAGGCAGGCACTCTGTTACTGTGAGCTAGATCTCAGCCTCATGGCCTCTGTTTTGATGCCAGTGTTTATGCCTCTGGCTTTATGCATACTGAACAATATACAAACTCTGTACTTTTGTATCTTTCCTATTGGACTGTAAGCTCAGGGGCACAGGGGTAGAGAGTGCTATCATCTACCTTAGAGCCACAGATCCTAGCACCCATATACAAATCTGAGAGTGGCCTGCATGCCTATAACCTCAGTGCTGTGAAAGGTATAGACAGCTTTTCTAGAAATTGTATGTTGTCAGCCTAGCCCCAGGTAAGAGACCCTGTCTCCAGAGAATAAGGCAGAGAGTGACTGATCCGGATGCAGGGGCACCTCTCCATATACAAATGTGTGCATACACCTTATACACATATATACAGACATACTCTTACACACACATCATTTTAAAAATTTAAAAAGTCCTAATAATTTTGAAGAAGTTAGGTTTTTATATCTTATTTAGTCCATCAAGAAAGAAAGGAGTGTATCTGTCTGGTGATGATAAGAAGTAGCTGTTGAAAATACAGGGGAGGCAGAATGCCTGTGTTGAGCCATAAAAAGGAAGAAAAACCCAAATAATGCTTATACACACTCCTTTGCTAGTGTTTCCTCGGCCAAAACAATTCTTAAAACTATGTGTCTGTTTGTCCTTGTGTGTGTGTGTGTGTGTGTGTGTGTGTGTGTGTGTGTGTGTGTGTGTGTGTGTGTGTGACAAGTATTCATGCATCTGTGGAGGCCAGATGAGGAGTTCAGATCCCCTGGAGCAGGTGTTAAGGTAGTTGTGGGCAGCCATGAGGTGTTGAGAACATAACTCTGGTCCTCTTGAAGAGCCACAGGTGTTTTTAACCCTGGCAAAAATAATCTTTTTTTTTTTTTCTTTTTCTTTTTTTGGTTTTTCGAGACAGGGTTTCTCTGTGTAGTTTTGCGCCTTTCCTGGAACTCGCTTTGGAGACCAGGCTGGCCTCAAACTCACAGAGATCCACCTGGCTCTGCCTCCCGAGTGCTGGGATTAAAGGCGTGCGCCACCACCGCCCGGCTAAAATTAATCTTTAAAATGTTTTAAATGCATGAAATGATTAAACGTACTAAGGTCATCACTCTTCTAATTATCATCATAACTGAATCACAGGATCTTACTGATGGGGCAGGTACCTGTGTTAACTAACAATAGTCCTTTTGTGGCTTCTGATAAAAAAAAAAAAACCCAAAGGTACCAAAGGTATCAGAGGTGCCATTGCTCTTCAAGGAGTTCTTGTTTATTTTTGATTTCCCAGCTATGGCAAATGCCCATGCAGGCAGCTCCCACAGCCTGTGACCCACGAACAGGGGTTATTCTCTGAATGCTTAAGGAAAACTGCGGCTGAGGGGTGCTGAAAGGATCACCCTACTAAGGAGACTCCTTTGTTTCTCTGGCAGTGGGTAGGGCTGGATTGAATTTCTAACTTTCATCACTGCCCTTTGGTTAATGATGTAATTGTTTTGCAACCATTGTGTATTAGAATAGGGTTTAAAAGGATATCGACAGTCTTTTGTCTAATGATCCCATGGCCAACGAAGTTCAGAAGACATTGAACTGCTGGGGCTTATTAATGCCTTTTGAAACCCCGTGTTTATTCCTGGCTCAGGACTTCTGTTGAATCGCAGTTTTCTAGTGATTTGCTTGTCTGTTTTAAGTCTCTCCCCTACCCCTGCAGCCCCCCCCCCCCCACCTTGTTTTAACCTTGGTGTCTCTGCACAGAGTAAAGAGAAGGGATTGAGTATGGAACTGATGAATAAATAATTACCTCTGCAGAATCAGGAAGTAACCTCTTGGTGCCAGCATCTGAGTCAGGATATTCACATTCACTTCTGTAGCCACCACATGATGTTCTGGGCTCTCAGGGTCTCTTGAATACCATTCCCACATCCCTCCTCAGCAGGCTGCCACTCCAAGCCTCCCCAAGTCCCAAGGGAGCTTTGTCTACTGCAGCTGATATGCTGTGTTCTTGAATATTAAAGCCTTCTGCACTCTTCCGATTTAACCCTGGCGTCTCAGCACTGGCCCTCTGGGACCTCTCCAAGCCATTTAAATGACATCCAGGCAAAACCAGGCTGAATTATAAAATCATAGCTTTACTAATATAAAATCCCAAGCCTCATATTTTAATATCATATATGAAGTCCTGTCTCATGACCAAGATTAATTTAATATGTAAAACAATAGATACCTCAAATTAATACAAAACACTGTAATACAAATGACTCTTATTCAGATTTGAATCCTGCACACAAAGGCTATAAGTAAATTAGTTTTATTGATCTATATTCATAGAATTATTTAAATGTACCCTCTGGTACTGAGAGCCAGGGGTTTCTCTGATGCTTGCCATTAATGCATTTTTCATTAGTGGCTAGTGCTGGGAAGCCCAAATTTCATTTGGCTGCAAAAGATTAATTTCCTCTTGACAACCATGGCCAGATTTAAAAAAAGAAGAAGAAGAAGAGAGAGAGGAGTTGAAACAGTAACCTAAAGACAGTTCTCAGAACTATGAACTAGAAGACCAGGAAAACACGGATTAAAAAAAATAAAATTAAAAACAAAAAACACTGAAAACATTGTGTGTGTGTGTGTGTGTTTTTTTTTCTTCCTTCACTTCCTTCACTGTGTGTTGGGGAGGAAACAGACATCTTCAAGACAAATAAACCAGTCTTGTCTTTGGTTCTTGACCCTGTCTGAGAGCAGGCCACTCCCTTGTACTGGATAACTGATGTATTTTTCATCTCAGAATCATAAATAGGAAGGTGCGAAGGCAATTCATCTCCAAGTGGTTTTGAATTATTGTATCCTTCCTTTGCCTCTTGAGTGGATTTCCTGAAAGTATTTTCTCATCAACCTCAGAGAAGAAGCACATAGAATAATAGGAATAATACAATTAAGGCTAATTAAAGCCGTTCAAATTAATTTTGTTTGAAGATTCTTTGGAAAATTCGAAACTCCCATTGAGATAATTGGTACACTCTGGGGAGTCACAGAACTGAGCCCCTGGACCTGGTTGCTGCTTGGATGTCCCCACCAGCAGAGCGAGTACCCTGATTTGTCTCCCCCTAGGGTAGTGCGGTCATTATGCCAGCTCTGTGGGGAACCTTCTAGTTTTTCCTTTTAACTCTCTCATCATTGGACCCCACAACCACTAACCTATTTATTATGACAGTAGAATAATACTGATGTGGACCGTGAAGACCAAAATGGGAAATATTTTCACAAGTGGGCAGAGTGAGCAGTCATTTTTCTGTGATTTATGAGCCATTAAATGTCTTCTTGCATAAAGTGTGTCTCTCTTCTAGTCTTGTCCCAGTGTTAGAGAATCCTTTGCCTTCTAGGGGGTTATTTCTTATAGATGGAAGTTCTTTGTATTTTACAGAAATATCTTTAAGGAACCAGTTCCCTTGGGCATATTAATTTTTTCTAGAAACTACTATCAATGATTAGTGTCACAAAACCTCAATGGTTGTTTTTAAAACATTTTTCACAAACTGTGCTATGCTAAAAAAAAATCCTCTCAAAAAAATCTTCATTTATTACTTATTTGTGTGTGTGTGTATGTGTGTGTGTGTGTGTGTACATCTATGGAGGTGGGAGGGCAATGTACAAGAGTCAGTTCTCTCCACCCACCTTGTGGGTTCGGGGACTTGAAGTCAGGTTGTTAGGCTTGAGGGCAAGCACCTTTACCCACTAAGCTCTCTCTGCCCCAACAAAGATGTCTACATTTTACTTCTCAGGCATTACAGGCTGGCCAGATAATAGGGGATTGCAATTTCTGATGGAATTAAAATTACTCATCAGTTGATCTGGATAAGAAAGTTATTTTGGAATAGCTGATGCGCTCCATGTAACCACAAAAGGCCTTTAAAGTACAAGAGAGAAACAGAAGAGAAAGATAATAAGGCAGGTGTAATATAGGACACAGCTCATCTTTGTGGAAAGAATGGGGCCATAAGCCAGGGAGTTCAGACATCCTGCAGAAGTCAGGATGCAGATTCTTCCCTAAAGCTGCAAGAGAGCCCCGTTGAAACCTTTATGTCAGTTCCACACAACCCATTTCAAACTCCTGACCTTACAATGCTGAGGTAAGGCATTTATGTGGTTTTAAGGTAGTAGATCCTGGCAATTTCTTCCAGTTACAATGGAAACTAATGCAAAAGGAGATGGGAACAGGCCAGTTTTTCAGGTTTGAAATCCAGTATCCAGCAATGGGTGAGTGGGAGGGGCTGGAGCGAGCACTACAGAAATAAGCACAATGGAGGAACACTGAGGTGCTGCTGTGAGGTGTAAGAAGGAGGGAGTCCTGAGAAGATCGGCGGCACATGGTTATTGACAGATGCAAGGAGGGATGATCCAAGAGTGAAGACAGTGATAAACAGGAGGAAGCCTGTGATGTAGCTTGGTCATCCCTAATGCAAAGACCCCAAATCTACAACACACAAAATCTGAAGTAGCTTGAGGGTTGCTTGACACTGAGGTTTAGGAGCATTTTTGGATTTTAGAATTTTAGAGAAGGGATCATCAACTGGTAAAAATCTATGTCATTATTCCCAAACTTAAAAAGAAAATCTGAAATCTGAAAAACTTCTGGCCCCAGGCCTTACTCCAGCTTATAATGATTTTCCATTGCTGTATAGTAAAATTACCACAGGCTTAGAGACTTACAGTAACACATTTATCATTTCACAGTGTGCTGTGGTTTAGGAGCCTGAAATCACCCATCTGAACCTGCTGGTGGCCTCGGAATTGACCACCAAAGGAACATAGTCTGTTCTGGTCTGTATGCTCATCAAAGGAGAAGTCACTTTCATGTTCAGCCATGTTGTTGATAGGATTTATTTTTATGGTGGCATTGCTACAGACTCTTTATCTACCCATCCATCCATCCACCCTTCCATCCATCCACCCATGCCTCCATCCATCCATCCATCATCCATCATCCATCCATCCATCCATCCATCCATCCATCCATCCATCCATTCATCCTAGTACCAGGGACCAAACCCTTGCCTTGTACTTTTTAGGAATCTTCGAATTCTCTAAAGACCCTGACCTTTGATGATTTTCTGGAGAGCACCCTCACACCTTAGAAGCTCAGAAATTCCTTCATACCAGGGTCTTCCCCAGTATAGCAAATCACAAAGTAGCTGTGGGGAATATATTTATGATGTACTATACTAATCCTTAGGAACAAGTCCCAGGGATCTTCTCCAGAACTCAGGGAAGGGACTACATAAAGACATAGACACAAGGAAATGTGAATCACTGGAGCTCAACCCTATGTTTGCTTGTGTTTTTGTTTGTTTGAATTTTTTTTAAACCACTAGTACCACTCAGACTTGATGTACATCTTCACCCAGGTTACACATCTTTAGGGATTTTGTTACTATTGCTAATGACTTTTCTCACAATAGAATGGTAGGATTGATTTTTTTCAAGAAATTCAAGAGTTTTGTGTCTTTCAAAATGCCAGTTATTCGAGCCTAAGTAGGGTCCATGTGTTCTTAGGAAAGACTGGTTCTTGATTGGTGTTTAATAGATAGTGACTGCTAGAACCCAGGCAAGCCACTAATCACACCATACCTACTTTTGACAAACTCTTTCTCACAGACACAGTAGGGGAAATGTCAAGCCCACACCTGTCTATGAATCCCTAACCCCTTAAGTGACTTTCTTGGTGTCAATATTCTGGAAGAATGATAGGTGCCCAGCTCATTTGCCCTAAGGAAGTTTACTGACCCCAGGCTGCCAGACTTGGAACAACAGCAGAAGATGGTGACATATCCTCCATCCACACAATGGGTACAACTTAACTAAATGTGTCCCTTCTCTTCTACACCCTCAGTCACACATTCCTTCACTGGGATTCCATCCCCTGCCTCCCACCACTCAGGAAACAGGGACAGCCTTCCTGCAAACCCATGCTTTGAACTCATCACCCACATGGCATGGAACCTGCCCCTTATTTTGGAATCTGTCATAAGAGAATCCCCACTGTGCCACATGGGTCTGTACTCTCCTCAAAGTTCCTGTCATGCTGTTGTCTGTCTGTCCATGCCATTGATAATCAAATTTCTTACCTAAAAGACAATCTACCTCAGTGTCCCTCTTGAGCATCAAACCTGAAACCTTATGATGATGTACCTCATGTAAAGATGAACTGGATAGACTCTCATTCTACATTGCCCCCCCATCTCCCACTTCCTCCTTTTCTTTTATGCCTAGCCCTGACTTTTTTCTTCTAGCTCCTTCATTCCCTGAGAATGATATAGACTGTCCATCTCTTCCTCAGAGTCAGTAGTTTTCTAGATTGAAAAACAGTAGCATATGCTCAACTCCCTAGCAGCTCCTTGGGTATAGGGGGTGTCTCTGTCCATATGGCAGGTTGAATAGCACAGGGGTCCTTTCTATGGCAGTTATTGTGGGACTTTTAGTGTTGAGATAGTGAGATTCAGCCCAGCAGACCTTGAATTTTCATTATTAAAATGGAGCTCCCAAGACAGATTTTAAGTTAATATATGTGGTCTAAGTCTAGCATATTAGGAACAGATGGATTAAAGAACCTTTTGTGAAAGAAAAATAAAACAAATCTGTAAATATGATAAGCCAATGAGGTGTCTGTTAGTAATTTCTCACATAAATATGTTTTGTGAGAACCCAGAGACACCCATAATTCCCACTGACCAGAGAAGGTCCTCAGTGTTTGCTGAGTGAGTTCTCAATTGAATCAGGATTCTGTCTCATTATCATAAAGAACAATCCTTGGGCTTTACACAGGGAGGTGAAGGTGGTCTCAGTTTCCCACACAGCTTGGTAATGATAGATTCTATGCTATTTTAGATGAGAAAAGATCCACACTAGCTTGTAGAAACCACGATAATGATGAAGAAGGTGTTAATGAGAAAAGGAAAAGTAGCTGGGCTTAGTTGAGCTTCTTGACATTCTGCAAGACTGTGCTCT